TACATTCCAACAATTTGTGTTTTATCATACTTAACATCAAATCGACAATGTTTTCTATCTGTTAGCTTTAATAAATTAGTCCATGACATTCCTCCGTAGAAATCATCTATTAAAATTCCAATATCTCGATCATAATCAAAATCATCATTATTATATTCTTCCCATTGTTTCATATCATCTCTTTCATACAATCCAGGAAATAATTGAGAACAAAAATCACTTTTTCTAGTTCCGTTATCTCCATAAACATAAAAAACACATGGTTCCCAGTATCGTTTAATATTTCTAAGAGGATTAATAATTTTTTTCTTTTGTGACTTTGCAATATCACGTAAACCATTTATTGTATGACCCTATTTTTCACAATTTTCAGATAAATCAACAATAACCTCATCTACATTTTCTCCTTTTAAAACTTTAACAATTGCTTCTTTATAAAAATTTGGTTTTTCTTTTTCAAATTGAAATTCATCAAAAATAAATAAAAATGGTCCAGCTATTGTTGTATCTTGGTCAATACGTGCGAAAGGTCTTTCACAATTTTCATTACAATATGAACATATTTTTGAAAGATCCTTAAAATCACATTTACATTTTAATCCTTTTTTAGGATTAGGATTATGTTCTAGAAGTTTGCATCTATCATGATCTTTTGACGTATAAGCTAAACATTCTTCTTCTGTACTATTAGCAAATTCAAAATGAACATTTGCTTCAAATATCTTTTTTAATCCTGATCCTTTTTTTGTTTCTGAATTATATTCACCTACACGTTGTTGAGTCCTTTCTCTTAATTTAACAAATCCTTGTGCATGATATCTTCCAGGTTCTGAAGCATTTTTATTTGGTTCAAATTGAAATTGTAATAATTTAAACGGACAATTTTTTGTATTAAAAATTTTTTCAACATGATCATGAAAAGTTTCTAATCTTTCATATAAAGTAAAATTGAATTTTCTAAAACGTGTATCAGGATTGATAGGATTTTTAGATTTTTTAGATGCGTTTATTGAAGACATTTTTTAAATTTACATGATTAAATTTCTAATAGGTATCAAAGATACTTATTAGATAAAAAAATCGTAACAACGAAAATCGATAATAACATAAAATTTTATTAGAAAAACATGTTGTTTTTGTGAGATTGACATTTTTACTTAAGAGCCCAAAGTCGATTAACATAGTAAGATTTCGAGTAAAACGTGATTTTTTGTGTCTCTCGGCATTTTTTTAAATGATCTACAAAGAAATATGTAATTTTGTCTTCATCAAAATTCACCATCATTTCGCGTGTTTTGATCCGTTTGACCCTAAATTTTGTATACTAACTCTTGGACCTCATCTGCACCAACTTACTTAATACTACTTTTGATGTTTACTTGTACCAAAGTATCGAAATTAACGAATTTCTACTTTCCTAATAATAAAAAGTAAAAGTTATACACGTTTTCAATTGAAAAAGGAAATAAACAAGATGTGAATAATAGAATTTTTGATATTGAATTTAATAGAGGTACAACTTTAGATGAAGTTAAAAAAGTAACTTTAGATCTTGGAATTGAAGGTGAAATTTACCAAGATAAATTGACAAATCTATATTATTGGAGGTGACTTTGAAATAACAAGATTATTAAATATTCAACTATTGAAGATATTATGAGATTACAGATAGAGTTATAACACATATTCCAAAAACAATACTAGAAGAAAAAATATTAGTAGCTTCAAGTAAAAATAAAGATTCAAAACAAAAAGAAATTCAAGAATTAAATATTTTTAATTCAAATAATTTAAATAATTTAGAACAGGATACAAATCATGAATTAGATTCTTCATTATCTTCAAATGATTCTGTTCAAACAAGAAAAAGAAAAAAGAAAAACAAGTAATTAAAAATATTAAAATTATTAAATTTAATAATGATATTAAAATAGATTTAGAACAAGCACGAATTAGATCTAATTATGATGAATTAAATAATAAAAAAAGAAAATTAGATAACTTTTTAGATACTGATGATTTATTAAAAGATAATAATCTTAATATTAGTGAATATTCGAGTAAAAAAATTAAAAGGATTAGAAATGATAAAGGATTAAATAAATTACTCAAATTTTAAAATATATATATTAAATAAATTATATTTATATTATAATTTTTATTTTAATAAATCTAAAAAATCATTCCATAAATTATCATTATATTTACATCTATATATAAATTCTTGTAAATATTTTTCTATAAGATATTCCTTTCTATTTCTCTTTGATATAAAAATTTTAAGTCTATTCTAGCTTCCTTCTATTGTATTAGTATGAATACTAAAAGTTTCTCCTTGACCTCTTGAATGATTAATACATCTATAAATTATATCTAATCCTTGTAAATTATAACCTCACTAACAATCTGTAAAAACAATATTTTTAGATTTTATATGTTGTTTTATAATACATCTAATTGTACTTGCATTTCTATCTTTTGCAATAACAAAGAAGCATTTTCTTTTAACTGATCTCTCTATACCACCAATTATGCATAGATCATTAAATTTTGATTTGTCTAATTCACATATAATTTAATTACCTCTAATAACACAATCATTAAATAATTGTTCATAGTTTTGCTCAGAATAAAGAAAAGAAAATAAAAATAAAAATGTTAACAAAAAAATTTTTAGTTTCATTTTTTATTTTTTTTCTTAAAAAATAAATATTGTTTTTATAGGTAAAACAAGAAATAAATTAAATAAAAATTATCTATTTTTAGCTAAAATCTAGATCAAAATTTTGATTTTCTTTATTCTAATATAGTTAAAATATTCTGAAAATTTTGCTTTACAATTAAATTATCTTTTTCAAGTTTGTGAACTTTTTTTTTTAATATATCATTTTCTTCTTTAAGAAGTTGAACTTCATTTGTTAATTCAATAATTTTATGTTTAAAATATTTTGAATATATTTTGATACAATTTGTATTTCTTCTCATACAGATATCACAATCTTTATTATTATTTTT